GGGTTCAAAATGAAGACCTCGAACCCGTGAAAGTTCACAAGAGCACTTCGAAGTTCATGAAAAATAAGATGAATCAGTGGAAGTAGGAACTTTGAGAGAAAGGAATCAGAGCTGTTTCTCTCCCAAACAAAGCTTGAAGCTCTTAGCAATCAGGGCTCTGATTGCAGACGTCTTAAGTGCCCGCGGAGAGTCTTTTCTCACCAAAGACCCGGAGTGGTGGCCCTGGAGAGGGAGGAAGGACGGAATCCAGTTGCCGGTCTAAACCGGTCCAGACAAAGGCCATCCACAGGGTTCAGGACGGCTTTTTAGTGTGTGGCTGTTTCCTACAAGAAAAATGTTTACTCTCAACGTCGAAAATTAACCCCGGGCTCACTGAAGAAAATCAGCAAATATACACAAAAGTATAGAGAATAAAGCAATTATCTGCACTCCATCCTTCAGAGGTGGTTTTCTTGGTAAAGATCTTTTCCAGCTTTTCCTATAATCGCCTCCCTGAAAATCAGTTCCATTGTTCACAAAGTTCCTACCTGCCCTTTCAATGTTCTCTGTCAGGAATAGTTCTCCGTTGCCTAATTACACCTTGAAAGATACTTGTTCATGTTCCATAATGTCCTTTTCTTGAAGGACTGCTGTATTTATTACAATCGCTAGTTTGTCATAAGGGGAGCCTGCTGGTGCAGTGGATTCCAGTTGGACTCTTAAGGTCCGCAGATCAAATCCACCACCTGTTCCAAGGGAGAAAGATGAGGCTTTCTGTTCCCGGGAAGATTTACAGTCTTGAAAACCCAAAGGGGCAGTTCTACTCTGTCTCGGCTGGATGGCTGTGGGCTTGGGTTTTGATACCTGCTCTCATGAGCGGTCACACTTAAATAAACAACCGTGAACCAATCACACTAATAAGGTGTGAACATGCTTGTTTCGTGAATCACTAGTCAACACTGAACGGCACCATTTAAAAATCAAATTCTCTGCCTAGTCTGCTAGCTGAAAAATGAGATCTTGGGATATATATATATAGTGCATAAAGATACATATATAGGTATTTCTTTGATTTCCAGTTAAATATTTCTTCATATGTGTAGCAAACATTTTCCTTTTTGTAAACAGTTTTATTGGTGTATAATTCTCATATCCTACAATGAAACAGTTCAATCATATTAAGAAGAGTTATCTAATCATCAACACAATTGTAGAGCATTTTCTTCTCTCGGACTCATGGTGATTCGCTCCCTATATCCTCCCCCCAAAACATTTTGTTTTAATGAAGTACAGTTTTGTGTCATTTACCTACTGTTCATATTGGGGGCAAGCACTGTCCTTTCGTGTTGGTCCTGTTTGAGGCTCGCGAGCTCCAGCAGGAACCCCAAAGAGGCCCTCGCGGTCATAAGAAGTGACTCGAGGCCAAAAGCGAAAAGAAACAGGTGGTGCTTCTCCCAGCAGCGTCTCCCCACGTGCTGCCCTTGGACTTCTGCATCAGAATCAGAGAGAGGGCGCAGCCCAAGGTATTTCACTTGGTGTCCTTGGGAAAAACAAAAACAAAACACCTTTCTAAAGGCCGTTCGCCTAAAGTACTTAAAGCAGGTTCCTACAGTGGTTCTCAACCTGTCCGTTGCGACCCCTTTTGGGAGTCGAATGACCCTTGCACGGGGTCGCGGGATTCGTAACAGTAGCAAAATGACAATGATGAAGTAGCAACGAAAATAATTTTACGGCTGGGAGGTCACCACAACATGAGGAACTGTATGAAAAGGCCGCGGCATGAGGAAGGTTGAGAACCACTGCCCTACTCCTTTTCTAAGGCGCCCTGGTGGTGCAGAGTGACAACGTGATTAGAGGTATAGGCCAAAGGTCGAGTTTTCAAAGTGCCCGAGAATCCAGACATGTTGCCCCAGCACGTTGAGTGGGTCACCTGGCCAGACCCTATTATTCGTTAGGTATGTGGCCAGAGAAGGTGAACGGCTCAGGGCAACATTTATGCACCGCTGGGAAAACAACTTAAGAGTAAAGGACAAAGGGTTTTGTGTAGTCCCTTCCCGTGTAAAAAGAAATCATAATTTTGATGGATCTGGTGGGACATTTCGGAGCCAAGTCAAACTGTGTGTGTAATTGTTTTGTAAAGGTGCTAGGACTTAATTTTCGGATCTGGAATAAGAACAGGTGGTGTCTGGTGGCAGGAGCCACAATGGTTTCCATGACGATGGGGTTGCGTCGTAGTCTCCCTCCCATCCTCCACAAAACCCACCGCCGCTTTCCTCCTAACGTGCTTATTAAATATTTGTTAAGTGAATGAGGAATCACAGAATGGTGCGTGCGCTTTGCAATTAGAGCAGCCGTTCTTTAGCTTGCCTGAAAGCTTTTAAGGCAACCGTAATTATTGCATTTACGCAGGCGATTTTGAATAATTTGCATATTAACCTAACCTGAAAATAATAAGCTACGCACTTCCCTTCCTGTTGAATAACCCAGTCCCATGCCGTGTTCTCCTGTGGCAGGAGCAGCCCAGATGGCGGATTAAAATGGCCTGAGAGGGGGCGAAGGGGTGCCGGCCGTGCCGGTGCTGTGCCGCACATTAGCTGGGAACCTTTGGGTTTCCCAATCCCGAGCCCCCCGCCACCCCGCGCCCCTCGGCTTCGCCCCTTGGCCCCGTCCACACAGTCGCCCAGCGCAGGCCGGGCCGCCCCTCCCGGGCCCGCGCCCCTCTTCCCGCGCACAAAAGGCCGGGCCGCGGGCGTCCCGCGTTGCCCTAGGCAACCATTGAGCCGAGGCTCCGTCTCCCGGACCCTGCAATGGGCCAGTAACCAGGGCCGCCATTGGCTTGCCTGCGAGGTCAGGCCAATCGGAGGGCAGGTTCTAGGGAGGCCGCGGAGCGGGTAGGAAGTGGGGTTAGAGGCCGCCGGGGAGGCTAGAACCCTGAGCGTGGTCGGTTGGAGAAAGCATGTCCGTCCGGAGGCACATTGGGAAGCCCGAGGTGAGGGCCGGCGCCGGGCCCGGGAGCCGGCGGGGGCGGGCGGA